TAAAAAAAAATTAGATCCCTCTGTATAGCCTCTAAAGTCCCTTTTATAGCTCTTATCCTCAATGATACTTAAGTTGGTTCCCCCATCAGTTTACTGAATGACCTGCCATTCAAGTTACATTGCTATTGCTCTGTAGTGATGAACAAAAATAGAAGACCCATTAGTCTTATACCACTTTCTTTCTGGTTTTCATTTCTAACTAAATGGTTCCTCCTTTTCTTGCTTTTAAGAGGAAAGTAGAGCACTGACCTGCAGGAGGAAGGCGGGACCCTCTAGTTATCTTCCATGGCTCCCACTCCTTTCCAAATGCAGTCCTCCATCCAGCCAGAGTGCCCGCACTTCCACACACTGCCCCTGCACACACCACCTCCCCAGGTGCCTCCCACCATTTCCTCAGCTTACTTTGCTCTTCTGGCCTGTGGATTTGTTCACACTATCCCCCCCACTGGAGTGAGGGAACTTAGGCAACCAGGGCAGGATGGCCATTGAGGGGGTCAGGGGCAAGGCCAGAACAAAGAAGCATAGAGAGGGTCTTCTTATGAGGTCAACTTCCTACTTGATGAAAGTGCTCCTGGACCCACATGGGAAACCCAATCAGACAGACACTTCCGTACTCACGTTCCTAAGTGGGAGATCCAATAGAAAAACTAAAAAATATGTGGACAGAAGGGGCACCAATCAATAATAGTGAGGAGTGTGTGGACAGGGGAAGAGATAAGGAGAGGAAGACATTCCAGAGACCATAAAAAGAACACGCCAAAATCTCCCTATTGGATTCCCAGCTTTGGGGCCCCTTCTCTTACAAGCCTCTCTCTGTATCTCTGTTGCCTTTGCAATAAATCTATTTTTTGCTTGCCATCTCTGTGTCCTGTTCTTCAATTCTTTGCTGAATGAATACCCTCAGATGTAACAGGAAATCTTTTCCCTCCTCTTCTTTGTCCCTCCAAGCCACTAATTCTTTGGGACCTTCCAACTTCCCATCCTCCCCCCTGGATGGCTCCTGTCCCTTGTGAGAGCACAGCTCAGCTATTAATTAGAGGGTTGTCTTGCTCTCCCTTGTACTGGAGGGAGAAAATACCATCTTAGAAAACCCTAAATCTCTAACAGCTCTTGAAGTGCGCCTTGGGCCGAGGGACTGCTCTGTATATTTTCTTGATTGATTTTGTAGTAGTGCTCAATAAAATAAGGACACTGCCTGTGATACTGTGAAATATATATTTGGTCTTTATCCTAGACACACAGATCCTAAAACCCTTGCAATCCCTGCAGTGATAAGAGTGTCTTTTGTATGCTAATGAGCTGATAGGTGGACAAAGGTGCCTAGGTAGCTTTAGGTTGGGGGCTGGTTACAGAAAAAACCAACACATGATTAGGGGTCTTCCCTTTAAGCCCCAACCCTCAACCTCCACAGAGGGGAGAGGGGCCAAAGGTTGAGCTGATAGCCAATGGTTATCCATGAATGGTGATCAACCATGTCTATGTAAAGAAGCCTTCATAAAACCCCCAAAGGACAGTGTGGTGAAGTTTCTAGATAGCTGAACACATGGGTTCCTGGAGGATGCTGTGCTCAGAAAGGCCAAGAGACTCTGTAAACCTTTCCCCGTGTATCTCTACCACCTGGCTGTTCATCTACATCCTTTGTAATGAACTAGTCAACCCAAATAGTGCTTCCCTGAGTCTTTGAACATCTCGAGCAAATTATTTGAACTTGAGGAGGGCATTGTGGGAACCCTAATAAATGGTCAGAGGGTCATAGGGCAACCCTTGAAATTTGCAATTGGCATCTGAAGTGTGTGTGTGTGTGTGTGTGTGTGATGGGGGGCTTGTCCTGGGGACTGAGCCCTCAACCTGTGAAATCTGAGGCTATCTCCAGGTAGAAAGTATCCAAGTTGAATTGAATTGAATTAGGGAACAACCCAGCTGGTGTCTGCTGGAGAATCTGCAGAATTGATTGCATGGTGTGTGGAGAAACCACCCCACACATCTAATCACAGCAATGTTCTGTATTGAGTGACTGTGTGAAAGTATTGAGAGTGAAAGAAGATAAACTGCTTTCCCCCTCTATCTTTAAGACCATCTTCTAAAGAATTTTACATAGCTTAACTCATCAGATGCTCTTGCAAGGGAAATCTTAGTTCAATTCCAATTATCAGAGGGGAAAACAAATTCTTAAATTAGGTGACTCATTTAAGGTAAGACAGACAGGACTCCTGACACCAAAGTGCATGCACTGATGAAGAGCTTGGACCTTGGAATCTGATACTTGGAACGGAATTTACCACCTAAGAGACCCTGGGCCCTTTCTTTTTGTCTTGGACCCTCAATATACTTGTCTGTGGAGTGGAGAGAGTAATAATAGTTCCTACCGCACAGGAAGTTATTTTATATACAGTCTAGTGCAAGGCAATGTTTAATATTCTATATTAGTTAAAACATTATTATCCAATTTTTGATTCATCAAATTGCCTCCCTGGAAATAAACCTGACTGCAGAGTTCCCAGTGCCTAGCACACAGTGTACACTGGCTCCCTTTTTTAAATATTTGAGTTCTGTCCAAGGTGCTTTTCGGAATCAGTTTTCTAGCTGCCACCGGATTGTCTGGCATCTTAGTGATCACACACACCATTGTACTCCCCTCACCCCCTTCTCCCATCACCCTCCACGGCTGACTAGTGGAGCCAGGCACCCCTTGGGAGATGGTGGCTACTTCTGGGCAGCCCAGTGAGATAACGGGTGTTTGCTTCTGGCTGGAACTTGCTGGAGGCTGCACAGGCCACCGTTATTTACCGCACACATCAGTCATTTGGCAAAATCTCAGGCTGGCAGTGAGACGGAGAGCTTGTGAACCAAACAGGGAGGGCTGCTGAGGGCGCACCATCCCCCTGGAGTCTTGGCAGAGACCCAGCTCTGCAGAGCTTGCAAGATGAGGTCACCTGCTCATTTCTCCTGGGTGGGGAATCAGTAACACACAGTTACACGGACCAATGGCAAGTAAGATTAGAAGGAATGTCCTTAATAATTCCCCAATGAGAAGCAGTTTTGCTTTCTCTCGGTGTCTCAGGGCACTAGACCAAGCAGTCACTGGAAAACAAGTTTTGGTGTCAGAGCCTTCAGTGGGCTGAAAGGCTGCTTTTCAGAGACAGGTACTTGAATCTCCCTTCTTCTGGCTCAGGGGTCGGTTCTGTCCACACCCTGGGAATTTGGGGCTGCGTTTTAGCGGGGGTCAGGGGACAGGGATTGAAGGGTGACTATACAGGACATGCTGTATCTTGCTGGCTCACTCCTCTTCCCTCTGACAGCTGGTTATCCTTAGCCACTGATGACTTTTCCCTCTTAATATGTTGGAGCTATTTTGAGAAAGTTGCTGGATAGGGGGTGCCAGTGTGAAATAGCAAAGCTAGTAAGGGCATTGGCGACTGCCTTCTTTCTCCAAGCCGGGCGACGTGCACAGGGCTACATTCCTCAGCCTTTCCTACTGCACTGCCTAGACCACTCCACCGTTCCTAGCAGTACTGCTCCTTCTTGGACAGCCCACACATGAAGTTGACTGATGACCTTGGACATGTGTAGACACATAATTAACCTCACTGACTTTAAATTAACCTCACTGGAGGGCTTTAAAGGGTCATAATGTGAAAAACCTTCAGAGCCAGGAAATTCAGCAGAGACCACTGACAGCAGGGTCCCACAAAGATTGCTCTGCCCACAGCCCCTCCTGAGCAAAGGTGAACCTCTATCTGAGGTAGCCATGGTTTGTGCCATGTGACGGATATCCTGGCCATTTCTCTTTGGACAAGAAAAGTGATTATGTCAAGGGAAAATTTAGCCTGATTTAGCCTGATCAGCTTGCTTGGTGCCAGAACGTTGCCAACAGGGGTGGCAATGATCATCTGGAACAATTGTTTTTTTCTCTTTCTGGAGTTTGAACTTGAGCCTGACATAGAGAGTTAGACAGCAGAAGCAGACGTGGGTAGAAGAACAGGGAAGCCAAGGTGGGCAGGGAGGCTGATAGGGGAGCATGGTGCTATGGGATCCTGCTGCCCAGAGCCAGGGGTGAGAAGGCGCTGGACCCTCAGCCACTCTTAGCTCCAGCTTCAGGATGCCCAGCTCAGGCTGTGGGATGTGGGCCTCCTGTGTTTCCATGCGTATCCTCCCAAAAGCCCCTTTGGAAGACAGCCTTGGTGGGCCTCTCATATTCACCACCTGAGGGAACCAATGAGAATTTGATCTATTTTATAGATAAGGGAGTTGAGGCCACAGGCCACTACCCAGGTTCTAGGACCAGCCCAGGACCAAGTCCAGACAGGAACCCAGGTTCCCTTATCTTGAAAGCATATTGTCCAAGGAGGTGATTCAGGCCCAGGGGTGAGGGCCAAGCTGGAGTAGGGAGTAGGCAGGACACTGGCAGTGAAGGGCGAGGGAGGGTGGGCTTCTAGGAGAAATGAAGACGGGAGAGGAAGTAATGAGCTCAGTGCTCAAACTCCCTGCAATGTTGTTTTTGTTCAAAACATATCTGCAAAGAACAGAAGTTAAGTTCTAAATTGCTTTGGAGTCTTGCCCTCTCGTGACTGCTCCTGGGGATGAGATGGGATTCAGGAGCAAAGACTGAAGCCCTGTTGCTTTTCTTGCCTCGCTGACCTCACCAACCTTTCCTGGTCTTCCCCATAGGGGACCATGGTTCACGAAAGGGCAGAATGAGCAGAAATTTCCCCCAAGACACAGCTTAATTTACTGTTGGTGTGTGCTAAAGGCTATCCCAGGCTGATTTTACACTAGTATCTGAATGCCCAAGGAGACCTTGTTGTCCAGACCCCATTATTTAATGGAAAGAGAGTTTACAAGTATTTTCACTTTATCCCACAAGAAACACAATTTATTGTGTTTATTGGTCTTATTCTGAGAGACTACTGAACTAGGAAAAGAACCTAGGATCAAACTTCATCTAGAGAGAATAATCTACCAAATAGGTGTGCAGCCCGCATTTCCCTCCTCACAGGCCCATGGACACAGCACGGATTGCAGTCGTTGGAGCAGGTGTGATAGGGCTTTCCACTGCCGTATGCATTTCCAAACTGGTTCCTGGATGCTCCATCACCATCATCTCAGACAAATTTACTCCAGATACCACCAGTGATGTGGCCGCCGGGATGCTTATTCCTCATATTTATCCAGGTGAGAGAGGGACTTGAGCTCCTCTTTCAGATATGAAGGAGGTTAATGGAATTCTGTCCACCAAGAAGGCTAGCTGTGTGTGTCAGCGTCACGTGCAATTTTAATGTCCTATATGTTCATCTTTTGGGAAGGGCTCAGTTATGGGCAGAACAAAACAATCTCTGAATCTCAGCAGCTCACACTGAACCTCCATTGAGCCGCAGTAAGGGTTCAGTTTATCCCAGGGACCTAAACTGATAACCTAGGGCAACACTCTGATTATCCTAGGACTTGGAGGCAAGAGAGCTCCAGAGGGTCTTACCTCTGTGATCAAACACTAGCCAGGAAGTGACTTTCAGTTCTGATGGCAGCTCATTGGCAGAGCTATTCACATGACCTCACCCCTCTGCAGGAGACCAGGAGATGGAATTCTACAAGGTTCCCAGAAGATGGAGAGCAGAAGTAAATGAATAGCACTAAAAACTGCATAATTGATGACTCTAAGTCTTGACACTGATACCAGTAATAGCCATCAATTCAGAATCTACTTGTAACAGGACTCAAATTCTCCTACCTTCTAAGCCAGTATAAAAGCAACCAGTCCGTATGGATTTAGGCTTGAAGATGCATTAATTTTTGCACATGTTCATGCTTCCTTTCCATTTTGTTTTCTTCGTGTGAAATGGGAGGAGGGGGCTATTATCATTAGAAACCCAAATTCCTTTGCAGCTAATGAGGTTCATACTCAGTTTCCTTTTCCTCACTTCTCGGTCCCAGGACAGCAGGCTCTATTCCTTGGGTCTCCATGTGAGGCACAACAACATGGAGGAAGAAGGTGGCAGAGGGAAGCCACTCACATGATGATCAGGAAGGAGCAGGGGCAGAGAGAGAGAAGTGTTTATCTCCACTTGCCAAATACAAATATATACCTGAAAGCCATGTCCCAAAGTCTCACCTCCTCTATCCACCTGCCTTCAATTATCACTCAATCCCATCATTTGATTAATTAAGGGTATTAAAACTCAATCATTTCTCCTCTAAACTTTCTTGCATTGTCTTATACATGAGCATTTGGGGGACACCTCACACATAAGCCATAACAATTATAAAACCCATCAATTTGGAATATGAAAATCTCCCTGTCCTTTTAATCCTGAAGCTTATATTTTTCAGTCTACATTTTGAGTTACTCAGTTGTTAGTTTCCTTCCCTTTGATGACTTTACCTCTCTTTTTGGAATTGCTATTAGGGAGCCTCTTGCTCTTGGTCTCCAGATCTTTTATTCCCCCCATCCCTGTTTCTATGTTCCTTTCTTTTTATTTTACTCATTTTCTAGAAGATTTTCTCAATTTTGCCTTACTATTGAATTTTTTATTTCTATTATAACATGGCTGGGTGTCTGAGTATCTGTACTCGGGTCTCTTTCTAGTGCTGCTACATAAAAACTTTGATCTTCTCTTTGGGATTCTTCCCATGATTCACATCAGCCCCAGTAGTAAATGTCAATACCATATGGGGACCATACCTATCCTGTAGTGTTATTATGCGAAATGAGTGAGTGTGTAGGTAAAGCATTCAGAAGAGAGTCTGGCCCACAGTCAGGATTCTATCAGCATTTGCTGTTATTCCTGCCATTCCAGCTACAGTTTTGTTTTACTAGCACTTGAATTTGAGTCAGATTATCAGATTTGCTTAACTCCTGTTCATTTAGAATTATCTGTTCTTTTGGGATAACTTCTGCAGCATGTGAATCTCAGTCGCTATTTTGTTTTTTAAGGTTTGGGATGGGAATGGGAGATTCATTTCAACAGAAGCCCTCTATATTGACATAGATCATTGGGGATACTTCAGCGGAGGTCAGTATTAGTAAGATTTCCATCACTGTGACAAAAATATCTGACATAATCAACTTAAATGTGGAAAGTTTTATTTTAGGTCATGGTTTCAGTTGCTTGGCCCCATCACTTTGGGCCTGTGACAAAGCAAAAAGTATCTTGGCAGGGAGCCACATGATAGAGCTGCTCACCTCATGGAGGACAGAAAGAAGAGAGAACTTGCTTTTATAACAAAGCCTCTCCCACCAAACCCATTACTATGAATCCATAAATGGATTAATTCGTTCATGAGGTCAGGACTCCCATGATCCAATCACCCACAAAGACTTTCACAAATGAGCCTTTGGGGGACATTTAAGATCCAAATCATAACAAGGTCCCCCATAGCTCTCTCTGCAGCTTATCATTTATTTATTTGCTATTTTTATTTTTTTAAATATATTTATTTTTTAGTTGTAGATGGACAATACCTTTATTTGTTTATCTTTATGTGGTGCTGAGGCTCGAACTCAGTGCCTCACATATGCTAGGCGAGTGCTGTACCACTGAACCACAGTCCCAGCCCCCTTTGCTATTTTTAAATCAGCAACCCTCGCCTGCAATCTTAGAATACAGTGTTGAGTTGGCACAGGCACATGTTTAATGAAGACACTGTAGATCTACTATTAAAGAAATATCTATTGGCTCTATAACAAGTGAATTATTTAAAAATCCTGTGGCTGATTTGCTCTCCGTGACCTTTTATTGAGGAGCATGATGTCTCCAAGGGCCTTTCCATCTATTCTGTGATTTCCAGGGATCCTTCTTTAAGCAGAGCCCACCCAATATTCTGTTTGCCTCAGTTTCCACATGTCCTCTGTGGCTATTGGTAGTGGCCCTTTGCAATCACTGTTCCCTGGTCTCTGGCCTGATCCTGAACATTCCCTCATGACCTTCCACAGGAATCAAATGTCCTGACACTCCACCCCAGTTAAGGTTTCTGTCCTCTGGATTGTGCTGGCTCTCTGTACCTACACTGGACACCGTCTTTGTTGCCCTCAAACCATGCCTCTTGTTTCTTTTATGATAGGCCTGGCACTGTTCCAGAAGCTGGACCCAGATGCAACCTCCTGTGCTCTAGCAGGGATGTCTGGGGGATGGTGTGGTCCCCCTCACCCTGCTGACCTTGGGAATGCTAACCTGAGCTGGTCCATGACTCCATGGTGTGGAGGTTAACTGGCAGAGAAATCTGGCCTGAGGAGCTCACCACCGTGAGGCAGGCCTTTGGGACTTTCCATTGTCATGTAGTCCGTTTTCTGTCCTGTTTGACCTGGGCCCCACAGACACGCCCAGTTATCCATCTTATTTTTAGCCTTCAGGAAGGAGACCCTCAGTCCTTTCTCCTATTGTCTCCACTCTTTGGCCAGCTGGATTCCTCAGCTATTAACTCATTTTAGCTCAGTCTGGCTATGGACACTTCAATGACCTTGGAAATATACCTTGTGCTCAAGGTATATTCCAGCTGGCTCTCATGTCTCTAAGCTTTGGCTGATTGGCTTGTTCCTCCTCCGATGATTAATCATTATGTGAGCAGGTTTGGATAGCATGTGTCAGCATCCAAAACTCTGGTCACTGACCCGTCCTCCACCACCATGGGGTACTTTAACTAATGCTCCTTCCTGGCTCCCTGTTCCCCCTCCCCCAGTTTCTAGAAAGGAGCTTATCAGAACAATGCTGCTATCATCATTTTCTTTTCTGTTCCTCATTGCTTTTCTCTATGGCTACAGACACACCCATCCATACACTGAAGCGGTGGTTTAAAGACACCTTTGATCACCTGTATGCAATTGCCTGTTCTGCGGAAGCTGCAGATGCTGGTGTTCATCTGGTGTCAGGGTAAGAGAAAGAATGTGAAGTTATTTTAGAAATGAGAATAATCTGGGCAGATACTAGAGTTCAACATAAAATATTTATTGAATCTTTGCTGTGAGCAGAGTGCTGAGGATTTAGAAAGAGTGGGAGGATTTAGAAAGAACATTCTTTCTAAAGAAGAACATTCTTCACTCAAAGGAATGCAAGAAAGACAAGTTATAGTATTAGTTTTTTTTTTTAAACTATAAGTGACTATTAACAGTTTCTCATTACAAAAGCTTTTTTGAGTTTTCTCAGGGAATATGCAATGATTTGGAAATATGCCCTCCCCACACCTTTAATGTGACATCACATCATCGTAAGGTTTCTACAAGCCCCCCAAACAACCAAGCCCCCAAACCAGAAACAAAACCAGAAAGTCTGCATAGCAGGTAACCCCAAATTTGGGTTATGTGGGGATGGTATGGCTGCTGGAAAGCCAACAAGTGTGACACTGTGTGTAGAAGCAAAACATAGAGGGACATCTTATTTACTTGGTGTCCTTGGAGAATGAGATGTTCCAAAGGAGCAAGTTTTGCAATCACTGAAATTTTCTTTCCAAGTACCATTTGGGAGAAGAAAAAAGCATTTCTGAAATAGTCAGCACACCTTTATTTGATTTTGAATATCTAATTTTAGAAGGCATGCATACTTAAATGAAAGTTTAAAAATGAATCCTATTTAACATTTCTAACACAAACTAAGCATTGTAAATATGACAATAACTTTCAATATCCTCCTAAATGAAGGTCACAAAGCATTCTCTCCATTTTAATTTGTCTTGATGTCATTGTGTGACAGAAGACATGTTGCCTGTGTTGTCCTGTGGGACAGACACAGTTCATGCCCTACAGCCTAGCCTACAGAAGGGCTAAGACCTTTTACCTATTCTCAAAACCTTTGCATCTTTGTACCATTATGACTGTTGAAAAAAATTGCCCATCTCTCTTATGTCAGGTTTCTTGCTGACATTTTCTCCTGTGTAGACTCCTCTATCTGGATGATTTCTATCCTTTTCTTCTTCTTGCCTTCTCTCACCATAGAAACCTTACGATGATGTCAACATTACTAATTTTCCAAAAGCTCCTACCCAAAGTAGCAGCTTTCGCTTCTCTGTCAAGCTATGGATTGTTTCTTCTCCATCTCCAGGACCAGTCAATGAACTGCATAGAAAAATTAGTCTCATGAGTTATGGTCTTACTTTATTTTTGTCCAAAACTAATATGAACCAGCCCAATTCACGAACTCTGGCTCTCAGTACTTTTTGGAAACAGCCACGACCACAATTCTTATGTCCTTTCAAGGGTAAGACTTTACAAATGTCCTGTGCATCTTTGGTATAAGTATATAACTTTATTCTTTTCTTCATAATGACTCATTCAGCAATCACCAAGTGCTTTCCTAGGAATCGGGGACATAGTAATAAACAATTTGGTAATTCTTCTTGGCATATCATAGATGCATAATAAATAGGTGTTAAGTAGATTTTTAAGGATGACAGATACAGTTCTGCCCTTATGGTCAGCAGGGAATATACTAAATCTAATAAGTTACAAATGAGACCTGAGTGGGCAAGGTAAGAGTACAAGTCTTTGGGAAAGTATAAGAAACAATGCAAAAAGAAAGTGTTCTGTCTGAGATCCTCAGGATGAGTGTTAAATTAGTCTTGTGATATTTAGAGGTGAATGAGGCAGAGACAAGATGGGAGACAGAGACAATATTCCAAGTAAAGGGAACAGCCCACAGACCTGAGTCCTGGGCAATTCTGGTTTATTGGAGGGACTAAAGAAAGTCCAGGGCCATGGGGAGTCACTGAGGGATTTTACACATTGAAGTAACCGATCATATTTGCATTTCAAAAGTATTTTATCTGGCCAGGCATGGTGGTGCATGCCTCTAATCCCAGTGGCTCAGGAGGCTGGGGCAGGATGATTGCAAGTTCAAAGCCAGCCAGCCTCAACAACTTAGTGAGGCCCTAAGAAACTTAGTGAGATCCTGTCTAAAAAAAAAAAAAAAAAAAGAGCTAGGGATGTGGGATGGCTCAGTGGTTAAGTGCTCCTGGGTTCAATCCCTGGTATCAAAAAAAAAAAAAAGTATTTTATCTGTAGTATGGATAAAAGATTTGTGGGAAGGTAGATAGATGATGGTTGGATAGATTAGGTTTGATAACAGGGACAGAGAGTAGATGGATTTTAGAAATACTTTGGGAGATATGGTGGGATTTGATGGTTGATGGCATGTGGTAGGTTAGGGGAGAAAGAAAATCAAGGATGATTCTGGGTTTCTGGCATAAACGTCTGTGTAGATAGGTGCCATTTTCTGAGTTGGGAAGCAATAGGGAAAGAGTGTGGGGCGGGTGGGAGAGAAGGAGAGAGAGAGAGAGAGAGAGAGAGAGAGAGAGAGAGAGAGAGAGAG